AGACCAGTTACAATATTGGACGCAAAATTTTAGGAAATAACTGAAACAATGAAAACTAAAAGAATCTTCCAAGTAAATTGATACTGTTTATTTAATTGACCTGATACCAACTTAAGCAATCATGGTATTAATGAACAAATAATAACAAAAAGTATTGTAACAACCCCCCCACCACCACCACCACTCCATCCCCACACCAACAAGAGTTACTACTTCTGTTTGTTGCAACATTTATGAATATTTACAGAGAGAATTAATCATCTTCAGAAAAACTGAGAGAGAATAAGAAGCCTACATATAATTTTTCAATTACTTTTGAACAATTCTACCAAGCACTAAGCATGCCCAAGTTGATATCTCCCAAATGTTATACATGTACATATATAATTATAAATACTGATTCTAACCATTTATAAATCTCCACTGCACTCCATTGCAATAGCAATGATAACATGATTTTGAAAACGGGTAAAGTTTTCAGAGGCCTCATAACAATAACAAGAATAATAATCATAATTATTGATTATTTATAAAAACATTGGAAAGTATTAATATCACAACATTAAACAAATTAACTCTTTTTTTTCACATTTACTACAAACTTTAGTTAACTATGGACAGAAATTAATAACATGTTTAAATCTTTTTATAAGCAGTTATATGCCTCTCAGTTTAAATCCTTACACATACAGGATATGCAAAACTTTTTTTCAAGACTAAACCTACCTAAAATTACGGAAACCCAGAGGGATGATCTATGCAGGCCTATAACACAGAGTGAAATTTTGAAAACAATTCAACTACTTCCAAACAACAAAGCTCCCGGTCCCGATGGGTTTAGCAGGGAATTTTATAAAAGACTTAGTAAAATTATAATCTCGCCACTATCTGAAATGTCTCAATTCTCGTACGTTGTTGGTGCTCTCCCTCCATCCTTAATGGAGGCTAATATCTCATTAGTTTTGAAAAAAGGGAAACACCCGGAAAACTCTTACAGGCTTATATCGGTTTTAAACCTTGACCTGACAATACTATCTAAGATCCTGGCCATACGTTTAAAGAGTATGCTGCCCTCTGTTGTTAAGAATGACCAAACCGGGTTCATACAGGGACGATATTCTACACACAATGTTAGGCGTCTGCTTAACATAATCCAGCATTCATCCCAGTTTGGTCCGGAGGCTTTACTTATTTCTCTTGATGCTGAGAAAGCCTTCGACTGCTTAGAATGGCCATATCTCTTGTTTACACTTCAACAATTTGATTTAGGTGATGGCTTTGTGAAATGGATACAGATTTGATACATGTCTCCTCTTTCAGCTGTTATTACTAATGGTTTCAGATCAGAGAATTTCAGTATTGGTCGTGGTAGTCAGCAGGGATGTCCGTTGAGTCCTCTGTTATTTGCTCTGGCTATGGAGCCCCTTGCAGCAGCAATTAGACAAGATGCAAGTATCGAAGGACTCTTTTTAAATAATTATCAGCATAAAATTTCACTCTGCGCTGATGATGTATTGATTTTTCTAAACTCTCCATCAAACTCGATTCCTAAAATGATTCAACTGATTTTACATTACGGCTCTTTCTCTGGCTATAAGATACATTTTTCTAAAAGCGAGGCTATGCCTATTTCTGGTATACATGGGGTTGACCCAAATATTTCTCAGCCTTTTCGATGGTCCCCGCCAGGTTTCACTTATTTAGGAATAAAAATCTCACCGCACCTAAAAGATTTATTCAATCTGAACTATACTCCTTTAGTGCAATCAATCAATCGAGATTTAGAAAGGTGGTGCAGCCTCCCTCTATCTCTTCTGGGTCGTATACACTTAGTTAAAATGAACATTCTACCTCGCCTTCTGTACCTATTTCAGATGTTTCCTCTTGTTTTGTCTAAAAGGGTCTTGTCACAATTGAATGGTTCAATTCTCTCATTTATTTGGAATAAGAAAAGTCCCAGATTAAGATATAGTTATCTTTGCTTACCGGTACGGAAGGGTGGTCTTGCCGCTCCTTCCCTTTCGTTATATCTTTGGGCAGCACAGTTTAAATTTCTTATGGAATGGTTTATCAGTGACCCTGACTCCATTTATCTGAGCGCTGAGGCAACCCCATTAAAGTGCATTCCTTTGCGGAACTTACTGTACACATCCACTGAGAAAGCCTCAGTACTCATTCAAAACAATATGGTTTTAAAGAATATGATTGCCATCTGGCGTAGGGTCAGGCGGTTGGAAGGATACAGTAACTGCTTTTCCCTTCTTACTCCTATTCAAGAAAACCCAGACTTTTCTCCTGGTCTTGAAGGTGGTTTCGCAGACTGGTCTATAAAAGGGATTAAAAAGGTGGGTGACCTGGTTCATTAGGGCTCACTTCTTAAATTTAATCAGATGAGAGTTAAGTATGGTCTTACTAATAAGGATTTCTTGAAGTACTTTCAGGTGAAGAGCTTTATCATTTCTAAATTGAGAGAGTATAATGGGGGATTGGCTGTCTCTCCTATTGAATCGCTGATGTTAAAGACCACGCAGCTTAAAGGTATAACTAAAAAGATTTATAATATCTTAGGTGATCTTAAAACTGAGCTGAGTCGAGAGCTGAGCCTAAAGGCGAAGCTCTCGACTTATCAGTCGATCTGCGTTCCCACCCTCGTCTATGGCCACAAACTTTTGGTAGTGACCGAAACAACGAGATCGCGGATGCAAGCGGCTGAAATGAGTTTCCTCCGCAGGGTGGCTGGGCTCTCCCTTAGAGATAGGGTGAGAAGCTCGGCCATCCGGGAGGGGCTCGGAGTAGAGTCGCTGCTCCTCCACGTGGAGAGGAGCCAGTTGAGGTGGCTCGGGCATCTGATCAGGATGCCTCCTGGTCGCCTCCCTGGGGAGGTGTTCCGGGCTCGTCCCACCGGGAGAAGGCCCAGAGGGAGACCCAGGACCCGCTGGAGGGACTATGTGTCCCGGCTGGCCTGGGAACGCCTCGGGATCCCCCCGGAGGAGCTGGTGGAAGTGGCCGGGGAGAGGGAAGTCTGGGTCTCCCTGCTCAGGCTGCTGCCCCCGCGACCCAACCACGGATAACCGGTGGAAAATGGATGGATGGATGGAATTTTATCATGAAGCATCAATCACAACAATCTCATCTCAAGATAGTCCGGAGCTCTGAGGATCAAATCCCTCTTGGAACTAACTGGCAGCTCAAAAAATCACTTTGTATCAGCCCGTGGCCGTGGCTCTGGCATGGGAAAGGCCTGAAGGTTGTTTATATGTGGGTGGTGGGGGTTGGAGATGCCCACTAGGTCTTGCCCTGATTAGTACATACAGCAGCAAACGCATTTGGCTGAAAGCAGAAGCACTGCAACTCCTGCATTTCTTATTCATTCATATAGCTCCCTCTAGTGGCCATAAAAACCACAACATCCATCCATCCCTTTTAGTAACTGCTTATTCCCTAATGGGGTCGCAGGGGGAACTGGAGCCTAACCCAGTAGCCAATGGGGAGAGGCGAGGTCACCCTGGACGCTCCCCAGTCCATCACAGGGTTACACAGAGACACACAAGGACCAACAACCACACACACTCACACTCACTTGTAAGAGCAATTTGGAATGAACTAGAACATTCCTCCCATATATAGTTAACTAAAGCTAAATTAAACTGGTGTCACTCACTTTCATACACCTTTGCTCATTCCAGTTCATTCCAGTCCAGTTTTTTTAGGGCTGCAACGAAGACTTCATTAAACAAGTCTGTCAGGGTTAGGGTTAGACCGGCTGGAGGATCTATCAGTTTTTGGGATCGTCCAACAATGAGGAATCAAAGCAGTCCAATCCTTAAGAGGGCAGCAGGGTGGTGTGGCGGTTAGCACCATCACCTCACAGCCTGTGAGGAGTTTGCATGTTCTCCCTGTCCCCACGTGGGTTCACCCCCCCCCCTCCAAAAAACATGCATGTCAGGTTTATTGCCCCTAGGTGTGAATGTCAGTGTGTGGTTGTTTGTTTCCATTTCCCTGCAATGGACTGATGGACTGTCCACAGTGTACACTGGCTAGTTGATAGTCAAAGTCCCTTCCAAGTCATTATCTGTCTCAATACAGCAGTTCTCTGACATTTTGGTGTCCTGTAGATTCTGAAATATCGTCTACAAGGAAACCACAATATTGTACATGATGAAAACCTCCTGCGTTGATTGCTCATATGGCTGAGAACAATTACCTTTCGGCTCTTTCTTGATGTTCTTAGCTTATAGTTAGAGCTTATAGTTAGGGTAAGTCCACCCCTAGTTGTGCTGCTATAGGCCTGGACTGCCGGGGGATTTCCCATGATGCACCGAGCTGCCCTCTCCTTTCTCTCTCTCCCTCCCGGTGCAACCTCATTCCATTAACAATGTTACTAACTGGACTCTCTCCTTCCCCCGTAGTCGTGTGCTTTCTCGTCCCCCTTCTCTCTCCTCTCTCCTCCTAACACTTTCTGCAGATATTCCTGGCTCTGGAGCTGTGGGGTCTGGATCTGTGGTTGGGAGTCTCCTCCTATCACTTCCTGCAGGTGTTCCTAGAGCTGTGGGGTCTGCATCTGTGGTTGGGAGTTTCCTGCTGCCCCCGTGTTCCTGCTCATCATTAGCATTAATATCATTGCCATTTTTAATCTATTCTACGTGTTGCTGTGTTGGCTGCCTCTCTCTGCTCCCTCTCTCCTTCTCTCGCCCTCTCTCTCTCTCTCTTGCTCTCTCTTTTCCCTCACCCCCAACCGGCCGAGGCAGATGGCCGCCCACCCTGAGCCATGGTTCTGCTCAAGGTTTCTGCCTGTTAAAGGAAGTTTTTCCTTGCCTGTGTCACCTAGTGCTGCTCATGGTGGGAATTGTTGGGTTTCTGTAAATAACTTCAGAGTAGGGTCTGACCTGCTCTGTTTGGAAAGCGCTGTGAGACAACTGTTGTTGTGATGTGGCGCTATAGAAATAAAATCGAATGTTCTGCAAACCACAATCTCAGAGTTTGCATCTCGATCAGTCATCTTTTGTATGCGGTTTATTGTTGTGGCCTTAAAGAAATGCATACAGTTGATGAATAGATCAGATGCAGAGAGCTGGCTGAGCAGCATCATACTCTGCTTCCCTACTATTGGAGTTCATTCTGTAGCCCTCCCAGACTTCTAATTTGCCTCAGATCCGTCATGCACACAGAATATTACAATGGAGGATTTTTGGTTTTCATGCCACACTGGAGATACATTAACACTTAAAGGAAATGTCCCAAGGGATGTTAATAACCAAGAAAAACTAAAAAGTAAACCGGCTGTCTGAACAAAAGTATATTTAATCAAAACAGAGATGGTGATAGCAAAAACAGACGCATGGAACATCGGTATGGCAGTTCAGGCAAAAACATTGAGGCTAAAGCTGAAGAGAGGAAATGTTCCACATGTAAACTTCTGCGTGTGCCATCAGAAGCTTTGTTTCCCAGGGTGAGTCCTGGTGCTCACAGCTCTGACTTCAGGAGCTTCTTTGCCTTCTGCATGTTGCTTTTCACTGAGGGAGAGACAGGAATTTATTTATTTCTGCTGCCAAACACACAAAGCTGACATGCATCACCCCATCAGTACTTACAAAGGGTGATGTCGCTAGGTTCATAAGCGTACAAGCGATTGGCATAGCGACCATTGATATCAGCTCTCACTGTCATTGAGGGGTCTGCAGAGAGATGGGTTGAGTGTGAGTGAAGCAGATGTGCCCATAAATAACCTCAGATCTTTCAATTCCCTTCAGCCATGTGTTAAGGAACAAAGGTTTCTTCGTAAAGGAACAACAAAGAAGTATCCAGTTGAATAAACATAACAGGCAGAGAAACCCCACAAGCCACTTCACTAGGAACCCGTTTTCCTCCTTTTTACAGGCTAACATGAGCATTCTATAGGCAAAATAATAAAAAAAAAAAAAAAAGGTCCAAAGATAACATCTTAATGCTCTGAAAACAAAAAGCGCATTTAAGTTACAAGTAGACCACTTGATATAAATACGGTAGGCTGTTAGACAACTGAGTGACAAGGCCTTACCCACAAAAAGAATCCGTGGGACATACTGTCCATCAGGAGAGAGATGCTTGTCTGTGGTTTCATACTGCAGATGAGACAAAGTGGGAGCAGCATTATATGAAGACAATGGAGAAAGGTTAAGAAATCCTGACAATAAAACCTAAAACCTGACAAAACTGCTGCAGAGTAAGAACTTATCTGATTTGTGGTAAACTGCTGTGACCTACCACTAGATTGAGGACAATGAAATCCTCATCCAGAATCTTCTGGAGCTGGTCGTCCTCAGAGAACATCTTTTTCAGCGCTGCAGGAAAATATGTGGTTATGGCCCAGCGACCACAGGAATTGCACCAGGATGTGAGCTGGCTTCACATATGAGCGAACAATACCGTGTGCTCAAGGAGTTTGAGCCCTCATTTGAACAAAGCTATTTTATCTTTTTCTGCGTGGGTAAATGAACTCAGTCAGTAGCGGCTCCGCTTACCCTGGCTGTGTGGGCAGTCCTCCAGGTGAAACAGGACCACTAGAGGCTTGTTTCTGGGAAAAAATGAAAATAATTAATTCCCTGACTTAATCATAAACCTCAGATCCTTTCCACCTTTCTCACCTTGACCTGGACCAAAAGAGAGCCTCCTCATAGGTCTGAGCCCAGATCAGCTGATCACCCCACCCTGCATGGAGACCATTCAAAAATCAGATATCCACTTCATCTTAACATCTACGACACACCTCCAGACGTGCCTCGGGCTGCCACACACCTCTGGACAGAGTCTGTGGAATCCTCTTGCCAGTTTTGGGGATGTATTTGGCAAAGGTTGAGGAAATGGCCATCAGGACCAAGAGCACAGAAAACACCGCCTTGATCATCGTTAAAGGGCAAACTGAAACAAACAGGAAAACGATTCACAGCCAACCTGTTTCTAGTCATGTGATCAAAAGAGCACAACTCTGCTAAGATGAGCAGACAATAAGACAAACACGTTAAAAAAAAAGAAAATCAATTAAAAACTATGAAATCCAAGACAGTCTACACTGGAAGTCAGATTTCTCTGGCGTTGTCACACTGAATGTTTGAAAACAGCATTTCCTTTTCTAGCCATGACACTCAGCTCACGTGTTTAACCCAGATTAAGCACTTTGACTCTTCAGGCAGGTCTAAAGTATTCAAGAGTGCCAAATCTGTGAAAACAAAGCAATGGCAGCCAGGCAGGACCAGCCTGAAGCTTACCTGCTCCTCACTGCTACGGTTGATGGATGGACTGCAGCTCCAGGATCTGCTGTGCCACGATCCTCAGCTGTGCCTTTTTTTAAAGCGGCTCCTACCTGAGAGGCAGTCCTTCGTCCCCCGCCCCCTTCCCTCCCACACATCCTGCCAGGAAAAAGTCCCCAGAAATGCCTTAGTGGCAGACATTTGTTTGCAAACCAAACTCCACCTGGAAAACGAACACTGAAGATTTCCGTGTGCATTCTCAAAGACATCCTGGTGTAAGATCTGGATCGGAAATGGTACTTGTTGGGAGTAACTCAACTATTCAAATAGATAAATATAAGTTTTAGCAAGAACTATGATGAATGGGTGGACTGAAGTGGAATATGATTAATCATTTGAGTTGAATTTCCTTGTTGAATGTGGACTTAAAACCTAGTAGATTAAACTCAAATTTAGGTCAATTGTATGTACAAAATGTGTCAAAAATTCAGTCCAATTCAAGGGGCACGGTTATTGTACTACAGTTCTAATATCATTCATTTCCACTAATTAAATTCCAGATGAGTCCAATTCACAAAGTCAAATAAAACATTTTCTAACCAAGAACCCTCCATCAGAAACCACAACCTGATCAAACACAATTGGGCTGACAGAGAATGGACAAGTATCATGACACCAGGCCAAGGAAACCTGCTGTAGCTGTAGCTACAGCAGCTATATCTACAGCCAAAGCTGCAGGCCTGTTGAAGGAATCTGCTTTAACACCAAAAAACACCCGCGGGAAAGACACTGAACCCCAACATTTCCTACGAATAATCCAAACACAGGCTCTCTGCGAGTGGCTGTGGTGTAAAGGCATTTGAGAAGGTTGTTTATACAAGAAAATGGCTTCTTTGTACAGTCTATTTCTCATCAGGTGCATGGTTAGGCTAAAAGAGACTTTTCAGTCTCTGAATTAAAAGGACTTTTCTGGACTGCAAGATCATAAAAAAATAAATAAGAATGTTTGTCACAATGTGAGCACATGTCAATGGCACCTTTGTTCAGGTTTCTTGAAACTGATCTACCTCTTGGGACTCAATCGGGCCTTTGACTGTCCAAGCATCCCCCCAGCTGGCCCTGGCTTCTCTGCTTTACCACAACAATCCTTCTGAAATATGAAACACTTCTGGGGTCAGAGGCTTTACTGTATAAACCCTTTTTAATATTGGCTCCTCACCAGTCAACTCTGAGAAATTCTGGTGCTGTGTTTCACTGGTCAGTGTCCTCAGACCATCGCATTAGCCGAGCTTGGGGGAGACAGTTATAAAGTAAGACTCTTTGTGAATTGGAATTATTTGAAATTTAATTCATCAGCCCAAATCAAGGGAGATCATCAATGATCTGGTGGGTCTTCCATTTAGTTACAGTTTCTCCTACAGTTGATTCCTTCACACCTACCTGCTTGTTTATTGTAGATTCCCTCTTCCCAGCCTGGTGTCCTTGGACAGCTCTGTGATCTGGGCCATGGTTGACTGTTTGAGGCTGTGGACAACACAAATAACAAGGCCAAACAGGTGCCATCAATCGAGGTAAAGAGTGGAGGACAGAAGAGCTTCTTATAGGAGAAGCTACAGGTCTGTGAGAGACAGATGTCTCCCTTGTTTGTGGGTGACCAAATACTTAATTTCCACCATTATTTACCAATAGAGTCATAAACAATCCTACAAAGTAATTTTCTGTATTTACATTTCTCATTTTGCCTCACAATTGAAGTGTGCCTCTCATGATAATTAGCCCTCTCATTTTTCTAAGTAGGAGAGAACTTACACAATCAGTAGCCGGCCAAATGCGTTTCTGCCCCCCTGCAGCCCAGTGACAGTAATGGGAAAGATTCTGAAAATCTCTTCTCTAATAGAAACTATCTTGTCGATGAACAAACTCTTTATTCATCATGACTAATTATCATGACTGATATTTAAAGGAATAAATGGTTAAACTCCCATCTACTTGAATCCTCTTGCAAAGGCTTATGTCACAACTCGATCACTCCGGTCATCAGTGGACTGTGGTCTAGCAGAGCCTTCACCAGCTTAAGACCATCCAGACTGTCTGCATGTGTCGTTCCAAGATGGAGGAACCACATACCAAGCTACCAGAACAGCAGGTCCCTGTCTTTCTTCAGAAACTCTTGAAGACCCACCTCTTCAAAGAGCATCTCTTGTCCTAATCCTAACTCGTACCTCTATCCCCCCACAACTCCTTCTGTAGTCCCTCTACCTCTATCTCTATCTCACCACTGACTCTGATCAGTGTTTCTCCTCTATATAGCTTATTGTCATTGTGATGAGAAATGGAATATTGTGTCTACTCTGTAAGTCGCTTTGGATAAAAGCGTCTGCCAAATGCATAAACATAAACAGAGCTCTGACTCTGGGATCGTTCTTATCGTCCTCTGTCAGAGAGGAACACTGAGCAGTTCCAGCTTTATTATAGGCTTTCTTATACATTATTGAACTATCTATCCTGCTTGGGAGTGGAACGTGGAGGGGACCCCGATGTAAATATGGGACACAAGAAACTGAGAAATATCTACAATCTATTATGGAAAGTAAACAAAAACTCTGGCTGGGTCAGATTACAAGAAAAGCACAGTATAGGTATAAAGGTACTCTAGGTGTAATGTGTGTGTACTGTCTTTGTCTAACTGTCTATGTTCATACCTAAAGTCTATGTCTATGTCTGCATGGAAAACTAAGAAACGGAATTTCAATTCTTTGTATGACCAGTGCATGTAAAGAAATTGACAATAAAGCCCACTTGACTTGACTTGAGGGAGCCAGAAACAAGAAGCCAAAGGAACACTGGACCAACGAGGACCAAATGACACAGGATGATTCACATAGATGGGTCTTCATCAAACCCCCGCCGAGTTTAGAGCTGAAGAGCTGTCCCACTTATCTGAACCAGCTGTGCGGGAGCAGGGACACTTGGAAAACACGCAGGACTGTGTGCCTTGAGGACCGGAGCTGAGACAGTTGGCTATACAACAGCTTTTTCCCTGTTGCCATTAGACTTCTAAATTATTGAATCCTGTTCTTGTCTAAAGCTGTATGCAAATGAAATTTCGTTTTGTGTGCACTCCGTAGACACAAAATGACAGTAAAGTTGTCTATGTCTATGTCTATGTCTACACCTATGTCTTAAGTGAGGGGAGTGGGAGCTCATCACCACAAGGGAAGAGCCATGGCAAAACCACAGACGAAGGGAACAGGATACTGAAAAGGCTTTCAAATAAAAAGAGAAAACAAAAAGCAAACAGAACTGGAAGAGACGTGGAAACAAGAGCTGAAATAATAATCAAGGGGCATGAAATTCTCTAAGAAAAATAAGAAACTTACCAGTGCAGAACCAAAGACACATTGATACAAAAAGAACTCAAACAGCAAAAGTCTAAAAAAAACCCTCAATGACACAATCTTTCCAGACTAATTGAGATAGTTTTTTTTTTCATATTCATTCCAGCTTTCTTTTGGCCTGCTTTAAAACACACAGCTGTGAATTACACCCAGCCTCTTCTTATTTTTTATTTTTTTAAAGATTTTGTTGGCTCTAGTGGCCTTTAATGATAGTAGCTGGACAGGAAAGGGGGGGATATAGAGAGGGGGAGACCTGCGGGAAAGGGCCGTGGGCCGGATTCGAACCCAGGCCGCCCGCTTATGAGCAGAGGGTCCGTATATGGCCCTGGCCAGCCTCTTCTGGTGGCAGCATTGTCCAGAGCTGCACACCGTGCTGTGGTCAGCCAGGTTGTGCAGAGGGAACCTTTAGGAAGCCCAGCAGAGAACCAAATGACAATGGAAGGAACCATTGAAATGTGCTTACAGCATTCTCTGATAAGTAAGATACTGCCAGCAGATTACAATGTGCGAAGAGGAAAGAGAGGAGCTCCCCCAGAGGGGGGACAGGTGCATCATGGGAGCCCCCCAGCAGCTCTGGGGTGTTTCAGGGCCCCTGAGCATCTGGAACTACCAGCTTCCAGTCATGGTTCAGGTATTTGTTTCTTGCCATCATGTGAATGTTGACTCCCTCTCAGGATTTGTAGCATTTTTCTGATTGGATTTGGACTGCTTCAAGAAGGTGTTGAGGTTCTGGGATGTGGGACTGGGCTGTGGCAGAAAAACAGAGTGGCCATCTGTGTGCATCCCTCTAATACCACTGACTCCTGGTAAGGTCACAATGGAGCCAATCCCAACCATGCGGGCAGCACCCTGGACCGGCCAGTCCACCGGAGCCACAGAGATGATGGACTACCACGTGCACACCGACTGTGCTCAGTTCAAAGCTCCCCGATTACCCGGCATGCTGGTTCTGGGTGAGAAGAAGCTGGTGAACGGTGCAAAGAATTAAACAAACATGTTTTCACGGCTGCTCGCAACCAGGATGTGGAAGAAGTTGAACTATGTGGTGTTCTTATTTGCACTTCGCTGCTGTGCACACGTCACTCTTTAACTGTGGTCAATATTTGCTGGTCCGGGCTGGGTGAGCAGCACTCCCACTAACGTCTGTCCACCAGCTGCACTCTGCCCGCCCCGCCCCGCCCCGCCAACCCGGATCTGGAGCCCTGTCACTCACCGCTCGCTTCAGGGGTTGACAACTCCCACCACTTTCAGATTTTGGCTGCCTTCCAAAAAAATATGCTGTTAAAGCAAACCCAGGCTCATTTGAGGTGCTCTTAAGGAGAACCTCTAAGTGGATTAGTAGTTCTTAAATATGTAGAGCTTCTCCTTTATGGGTCTTTCTCTCCGGTCCTCTCAACCCCGCCACATCGGGCCAGATGTCCTGACTCCTGGTTCAGGTGGACGTTTCTTCCCACACTTGCCCGGTGCCAGCTCAGAAATGGGGATTGTTACTTGCTTAACTTGGAAACGTTTTTGTGTGGTCTTTGCTAAATTGCGCATGTTCAGAGAAAACACTGCTGCTCTGTATTTGGACATTTATTGAATACACTGTGTACAAAAGAATTCAACTGAAAGTATGCATGAATGTGTGTTCTGTTTTCATACAGACACTGTATACTGACACAAAATGAACCATTTAAAGAGGTTCCAAGTTCAAAACTATTTTTAAAAAAAACAGAAAAAAACCCAGAAGGTGGAGGGAGCAACGAGAAAATCGACAT